ATGATGATAATAATAATAATAACTATGCACCCGTTTGTAAGGAAGCTTGTAAATTAACTAATTTCTCTATCCAATGCTGTCACGTCATGTGACAAAAGATCGAACGATTCAAAAGACTCGAGATGGACTAATCAATTCTGCATTGGCTAAGTTTATGGGGCTGTCACGTCACGTGACGAACGAACGACTCAAACCCGAAGACTTGTCAGATAAGAGTTGAGGTGAGCTAATCATAGACTGAAGACCCAGCTAAACAATGAATTAATCTTTTCTGTTTCTTATAGCAGTTTTGTCTTGTTTGTAGTGTGATCAACGTTTGCGTAAGTAGTAGACGTGTTAGGGAAGTAACACGTAACATTTTAAATATATTTTGCTAAAATGAACGAAATGACTCGAAAAAAGATTCGTTCATTTTGCTGAACGAGACTCAAAGGTCCGAGTCGGTAAAATGATCCGAACTTCCCATCACTAATTTCCGGTGTTTTTCACCTACACTGCAGTAATTCGGCGGCACGTACTGAGATACATTTGTAGACACTGACCCCTACAGCACAGAATGATCAAATGATGAGATTTTATTCCGTCAAAACATCTGCCTCGCATACATACTCAAAACTAATTGTCTGCAACATTTACAAAGAATACTTCTGTAAGAACCTTAGTTTAAAAGAAATTAACTTACAGTTTTTATTCTCAACTACAAAAAACTATCAGGGCAAACTATTACAAACAAATAAATTTTTGTTCATTTTATCTCCCAAATAACATTTTGTTCAATTCCACTTTGGATACATATTTATCTCATGTGCATTTCTCCAATCTAAAAGAGAAAACTTTTAGCATTTGTTTTGGGTACTAACACTTACTTGACACATTTCACAACAGCCAGTCTTTCTGATAACGTTACAATAATATTCTATGCGTTAACATTAGTTTCATGTTAATATGATGCATTATGAACTAATACTAAGTAGAACGAATGGTATATTCTTAAATTAAAATTAAGATCAAGATCGATGAATGCTGTAAACATGGCTGTTCATTGTTAATTCATTAACTAGTGTTAAGCATATAGAATCATATTGTAAAGTGTTACTTTCTTATAAAAGTCATTACTGCTTTTCCATTGAGCTCCAAAACTACTAATCACTTACAGAAACCACCATGACAAGGGTGTAAAGTGCATTTTCCAGGTCAATTTAACACTACAATTCTTATTACACTACAAGTGTAGTGTCTTGAACATACACAAGACAATAATGAATCTTTCCAAACATTAAATGGGCATTGGACATTCTGTAAATCGGGGGTTCTAAACAAACAAACACCCGATTAATCTGTGTAGATTACAAGGTAGAAAAACAAAAAAGCAACATTTATAAATACATATAAATAACCATTACTTCAAAGAGTAAGTCAAATGTGTAGTTGTCTAGAGATGTAAGAACATTGGTATCGTACATACTAAGAGTGTTAAAAAAAAAACATAAGCAGGAGAGGACTGAGCTAAGGCCCTGTCACTGCTCCTGTGTCTTCACAGCTATAGCCACAAGGGCATGGCGAATGGTACGTCCATGCAGTATGTAACCGTCTTGCTTCACCACAGCTATGGTGCCGGGCTCCACTCCCTCTGCTGGAGTATGACAGTCTATTTCATGCTGATATGGGTCGTAGGCAGATCCCACGGGGCTCATCTTCTCCAGTCCATGCTTGGTGAAGATGACCTGCAGCCGCCCCTGTATGTGTGCCAGGTATTGTGTCAGCTGCTGTACTCCATCTCTCTCCTCAACCTTCTCCAACAGGTCTGCCACCTCCACAATGTCACGGCAGAAACTCTGAATCCCTATAGGAGGAGCGTAATGTTCAATGTAATGCTGCTATAATAATGCAATGTGAACAGCTATAATGTGCAGCTAAATTAAAGTAAGTTACCAAATAGCTTGGCGTCCTCAACAAATTTCTGTGTTCTTCTTCTGACATTGTCTGAGTCAGCTAGGGCTCGTTTGTATCTCTCCTGTGAAAAGCACAAAAAGTTTGAGTAATAATTGCCTAAAGCAAAAAATAACCAAATTACAAATATAACATTGGCCATTATAATATTATACGATTGAATAATAACAATTAAGTAAAACTGTGTGATTGCAATGTATGTGTACAATACTTATTTGAATTTCACTAAATCCACTGACATCACTGTCAGGCAATAAAAGTCACTGATATTTACCAATGAAAATAACCCTAAAATGACCAAATACTGACCAGATCGATATAGCAGGTGATAATTATCCTTTATTAATGTTGCATTTACTCCAGAACACCATATACATATGTGACCCTGGACCACAAAACCAGTCATAAGGGTCAGTTTTTTGAAATTGAGATTTATGCATGATAATAAAATTCATGAAATTATTTATGCGGAATAAATTAGCTTTTCATGGATGTATGGTTTGTTAGGATAGGACAATATTTGGCCGAGATACAACAATTAGAAAATCTGGAATCTGAGGGAGCAAAAAAATCTAAATATTGAGAAAATCGCCTTTAAAGTTGTCCAAATGAAGCTCTTAGCAATGCATATTATTAATCAAAAATTAAGTTTTGATATATTTACGATAGGAAGTTTACAAAATATCTTCATGGAAGATGATCTTTACTTAATATCCTAATGATTTTTGGCATTAAAGAAAAATCGATAATTTTGACCCATACAATGTTTTTTTGGCTATCGTTAAAAATATACCCCAGCGACTTAAGACTGGTTTTGTGGTCCAGGGTCACATATATTTAAACTCTAACTGACATGTTTTCAATCATGAATGTTTAGTTTCTTAAAAAGCTACAATAGCTTACAAATACCCCTTTTCCACCAGAACTGTTCACATTTGGAAGCCAGAGTCTGTTCTTGGCTTGAGGAACGAACGATGACGCAACGCTGGTATGTGTTGTTTACCTGACTACAACCAGTCAAAAAAACAAATACTGCACATCCCGGTATTTGTATAGGCAGTTCAGCACTTCTGTTTTGCTGTTTGCAGTACCGTGAGTGATTTTAGAATATCAGCAGCTCGCATAAACTGCTGGTACTCTTATCTGTCCTATTACATTGGAACTGAAACCCTTAATTAATTTGCTCTCTTACACATTTTGAACTTACAGTGAGGTCGTGAACCTGCTCTTCCAGTTTTCTAGCTCTTATCTCTAAGGTCCTGACATGTGTCACAGAGTGACTGTGGTCGTCATCTCCATCATCACCACGGCAGTCATCACCAGCACTACGATGTTCTGCTGCAGTGCTGAAGAGGCCTACGACGGACCTGGAGGAAAGAAAAAAGAAAACAGCTGTCAAATGCACAGCGTGATCACCACTTTATTAGACAGCTTCTAAAGCCTAATATATGAGACAAAAATGCCTCTTTTACACTGCAGTGAATGGGTGCCATCAGAATGAGATTATCAAACAGCTGATAAAAATGCCACAGTTTACCTAAAAAAAGCTATCAAATTAATAAGTCATGGGATTCATTAATTTGTGGCCATGATATCTTGCCATGTGAAATAGATAAAAATAGATATTAAATAGATAAAAACTATAATTTGATAAATAATAAAAAACTATTTGGGTTACCCCACTATATCCTAAACAAGAAATCTTTCATTTTTAACGATTTTCAATGTGGGTTAAATGTGACCCAAAATGATCACAGATGGCTGCAGTTTCTTAGGACAACAGGAGGGTCAATTTGCCCCGTTTACACTGGTATGGGCCACGAACAAAGAGAATCCACAGGAATGCAATAAAAGCCATTCATCATCACGAATAATTACACGTTCAGTCCGTTTAACATGTATAGTTGTGAAAGTATATGAGCCGTAGGATTGATGATTACACAACGGAAAGTAAAGTTTTGAAAACACTAAACAACCCTAAATGTAAGAAAATCCACCAGAGGGCTTGCCGATGCACTTACTACGATATCTGACACTGTTTTAACACAGGCCATAACAGTATTGTTACATTTAATAGCCCGTAACTAAGAAAGGACGAAACGTTAAAGCAAGACACAGATGTGATATTAAATGTGACAGATGTGATTGATGGAGCAATCTTGCTAAACAACTTTAAAACACAATATAAAGTAACGTACCAAACGACCCACGGTCGACGGGTTCGTCGTTTCTTAACGAATTTAAACTCGTCTGGGTTGTATTTATTGGTTAAACTGGGGTTTGAGTCCCGCTACACCGTTAACTCACTCGTTACCCAGTTAGCAGAGACGCCTACCTCACACTTTAAACGGTTAAAATGGCGATAATGTTAACAAAACCCTGTTTTTTTTTCTCTCGTATTATTAGCACATTTGTCTAAATATTACTCTATAAATCAAGCTTTACCTGTTGACTGCACTTGGTGTTAACCTGCACAAATCGATGTGAAATCTTCTCGTTACGGACAGAAACCGCACGGCCATTTCCTCAGTAGAGCGTGTGGGTGGTCAGCGCGCGTGACATGCTCGACGAGTCACTGTTTAGAATCAGTGAGTCGATTCACTAAAACAACTCTGAATCTCGCGTTCCTGGTTTTGAAAAGAACTGAAATCTTGCATCTACGGCAACTTATCTTTTATTATAAAACCATCCATTCTGACTGGTGTTTTTGTTCTTCTGTATTGTATTTGACTGATTTAATATTTTACTAAACACGATAATCTGCTTCAGGGGGTTGTAAACCTTTTGTGCCCCAGGCAAAGACCACCCAGCCTACTCAAAGACCCCCTAATATAAAATGGTAATTTTATCTGTAGCACTGTATACAATAATTAATAGACCCCCAGTTGACTACCCTGGATCTGCTTGATACATGATTGATGATTATATGTTGATGAATGCTGTTAAGCCCATGACTTTTCCCCCAGTTCACAGCTTTTAGAAGCAAAGCCCATAGTTGATGTTATTTCAGTGTAATCCACAATCAAAAAAAAAAAGAAGACATTTTCTTAAATAAACAGAACTCCAAAAAAGCCATTTTTGAACACACTTTTAATACAAGAAATTACCTAGATGTTGCAAAGAAAAGAAAAAACAATGATTATTTTCTTTAGACTGCTTTTATGTACAAAATATAAATAAATAAATCTGGTAAATTAAGTGCCCTAGTGTTAACAAAAGGGAAAATCATTTGAATGCAATGCAGTTCAGTTTCACATAACATATAAAAGAGAGAGATATTAACACTGTTCTCAAAACTGCACAAAGACATCATCAGGAAGGCCACATCAGTATCCTGTGCCAGAATATATTAAGATGTGAAAAGACAATTTTCATAGAATTCAGGCACCTATTTTAACACTTAAACAAACAGGTGTTTATAAAACACTTTGTTTCCAGAACATTCCCTTATCCTTGCCATCTTCATGCAATTTTTTATTTAACATTCATTTTTATTTACAGGCTACCATCAAATATACGATCAACTGTCCCTTGCATAAGTGCAGTGTAGTGGACAGAAGGCATGATCACAGATACAATCTCTTCTTCGCTTTAAAAGGAATAGTTTAACCAAAAATGAAAATTGCTGAAAATGTTCTCATGTCCTTATGTACTCATGATGAAGTCGTGTGGATTACTTGTGGATTATTGTGATGTTTTTAGCAGATGTTTAAACTCTCATGCTGACGGCACCCATTCACTGCAGAGGAGCCGTTGGTGAGCAAGTGATGTAAAGCTTAATTTCTTCAAATTTGTTACGATGAAGAAACAAACTCATCTACATCTTGGATGGTCTGAGGGTGAGTAAATGTTTAGCATATTTTTATTTTTGGGTAAACTATTCCTTTAACACTCCATCTTAAACAGATCCTCAGACTCTCCTGATGACAGTGCTATAATTACATCACTTTCTTTGACTCCCATTCCTAAATACAAAATAAATAAAACAGAAAGAACAGAATAAAAAAAGATAAGAATAACACATAAAAAAGAAAAGAATAAAACATTTATTATTGTTGACAGTTACACATTTCAAGCATCACCATGTGTGTTTCATCGAATATCTGTGTAACCGTATACCTTGGCTTTCTGCATGACATTTCCTTTGGTGGATGCATAGATGGAAGGGGGGCGTTTCTTCATTTCAGATGCACAGTTGACCGGCACAATGGCACCTTTGTAAATACCTTCCTTTTTTTTAACTGGAACCTAGAGGTATTAAGATATAAATAAATGTTACTGTAGAATCAAGTTCATCTGAGGAAAAAGCATATTAAAAGTCAGGAATGCAGGTACCTTAATGGTGGGTTTGCTTTCCACAGGCGCCCCCAGCATTCCTCCAGTAAGAGACTTTTTCAGTTTATCCTTCACCTCCGTAAGTCGTAGCTCCAGGTCCACTCGCTCAGCTTCCTTCTGCCGGCAGCTTTCCTCCAGCTGGGCCAGATGCTGCTCCATGGCTTTCTGCTGTTTATCTGATGCACACATGTACACTGCTGTTCAAAAGTTTGGGATCAGTAAGATTTTTTAATGTGTTTTAAAGAAGACTCTTCTGCTCATCAAGGCTGCATTTATTTGACCAAAAATAAAAAAAAACAGTAATATTGTAAAATATTATTACTATTTAAAATAATGGTTTCTATTTTAATATACTTTAAAATATAATTTATTTCTGTGATGCAAAGCTGAATTTTCACCATCATTACTCCAGTCTTCAGTGTCACATGATCCTTCAGAAATCGTTCCAATAAGCTGATTTATTATCAAACTTTGGAAACAGTTGTGCTGCTTATTGTTTTTTTTTTGTTTTTTTGCTTTGTTTTTTTTTTTGGAACCTGTGATACTTTTTTCAAGATTTCTGATGAATAAAGTTAAAAAGAACAGCATTTATTTAAAATAGACATTTTTCTTACAATATAAGTCTTTATTACTGAATAAAAGCATTTCTTTCCAAAAAAAAAAGAAAGAAAGAAAATACTGACCCCGAACTTTTGAATGGTAGTGTATATTGTTACAAAATAATTCTATTTAGAATAAATGCTGTTCTTTTTAACTTATTATTCATCAAATAGTCCTGAAAAAATTATCACAGTTTCCAAAAAAAATATTAAGCAGCAAAACTATTATAATATTGATAATAAATCAGCATACTGGAATAATTTCTGAAGGATCATGTGACACTGAAGACTGGAATAATGATGCTGAAAATTCAGCTTTGCATCACATGAATAAATTATATTTTAAAGAATATTAAAATAGAAAAGCATTATTTTATATTGTCATACTATTTCACAATATTACAGTTTTTCTGTATTTTTGATCAAATAAATGCAGC